TGCAGAAATATGTGCTGAAGGCCTAGCCTTATGCACTGATATGAAATTGAAAAGACAGATAGATAAACAAAAGCTCACCAAGAAAAAAGAACTAGGAGATTTCTGTGAGCAATTTGGCTATTACTTAGATAGAAAAAATATGCCTGATTATATACAAAAGAAAAAGAAAAAATACAAAAAGGACAAATATAAAGCCAAAGGAAAAACGAAAGATAAGGAATATTATAAAAAATCCAAGAGAAAATTAATTCATAAATTTTCCCCAAATACAAAGAAAAGGAAAAAACTACCAGTATGTTATAAGTGTGGTAAAATAGGACATTATAAACACCAATGTAAATTAAAAAAGAAAATAGAATCATTAAATTTGGACGATACAACAAAATTAAAATTAAAAAATATACTTTCTTATGATTCTACTTCCTCCACTTCTAGTGAATCTTATACAGAAGAAATAGATAGTAATGACCTTGATCTTATAGGAACAGATAGTTCTTACACTGCAACTACTACAGAATCATCAGAAGATTGTAGTTGTCCACTACCTCAACATGATGTTCATACACTTACCCTAAACCTTAAACCCTAAACCCCAAACCACCTCCTGAGTTAAATAAAAATAAATTTCACATTGGAGAAAATAATAAATCTCTTATGGATCAATTAATTTCCAAACTCTCCCAATTAGACATAAAAGGAATACCTTCATCCCAAATCAATATTCCTCCATCAACCCTTACTTCTCAAACACCTGAGTCTTCTGATAAAGGAAAAGCTGTAATACCTGAGCATGAAACAATGATGCTAACAGAAGAATAACCCATTATAGAGGATACAATCCAAAATCAAGAAAAAGCATTTATGGATACTACACCTCTAATGGACACTATCAATAAAATAGCTTATGGAAAATATTGGAAACCCATAACAGCCTTACCCTACCATAAAAGACTTACCCCTGTTGATATTCAAATGGAAGAAGATTCAATACAACAGGCAGTATCTTATTCAGGGAGATCAATAGTCAATTGGCAAATTGATGGACTATCAGAATTAAAAATACTAGATGTTATGAGACATATGACGCCGGGGAAAACAACCCATGCATTCTTTAGTTCCTTATGAAGGGGAACCTTCACCCTTGACTTGAACAAACCATTTTTGTATAACTATTTTATTTATTACATTGACAGAAGGAACTGGTATTGTTGGTACTTCTGAGGATTCAGGAGTATCTATTATGTTTTCATTTATTAAGTCATTGAATTCTATTTCATCTGTCTCAGATTCTTGTTGAGACATTTGTTGCAATTCTAGCATTTGAATTCTTCCTTTTAATTGTATTATTTCAGTTTTTATTTCTTTAATCTTTTTTTTGAGATCAGAGATTGTAGGTTCTTTTTGAGAAGTGTGTTGATCACTTACTCGTTTGATAATAGCAGAGAAATTATATTCATCTGGATTTTTTATAATAGGTAATGGTTTTGATTTATTTTTTGTAATATTGATAAATTGAGTAATGATAGCTCTTTTTTCATTAGGATCATTTATTTTATCTAGGGTTTAGGGTTTAGGGTTTAGGGTTTAGGGTTTAGGGTTTAGGGTTTAGGGTTTAGGATTTCTCACCTACCCCAAACACCCCTCCAACAACAACAAAAAAAGAAAAAAGAAAAAAAGGAATTCTCAGCCCAAGAGGAAGCCGAAGTGATGCCTTTTGTTTTGAGAATAGAGCAGGCCTGCCTTCATATTGTCATATGTGGGGTAGTTTGGGAGTATGGTTTTTGTCTTCTAGTAGATATAGGAAATCTAAGGTGTGAGAATGACTTAATCTTAGTCATTGGACCATTGGTTAGACATGACAACTCAAGGGTTGAAATTCACCTTTATCCTTGTAGGATTCATTCCATCTATATTTGTTGAAATTAGGAGTGGGATTGGAAGTTGGGGGATCGTGAAAGTTTGGAAGATGTCCATGGGAGGGAGTGCCGTCCTTAATAAATAGAACTATCTTGACACTAAGGTGGAGAAATAGAACGATCTTAACACTAAGGTTGAGATCACTCTCAGTCGTTTGGGATCGCGACCCCCAATACTAGGGATTGAGATCCAAGAATAAATATTTGGATCCCTTGGGATTGCTTCTTGCGAGCACTTGTGCGAGATTCCGGAGCAGCATCATCACCTGGGTTTGGTGATCTATAACTATGATCCCATCATTCTTCTAATCTTTAGTAGGAATCCAATCTCCTAGAGATTCTTCCTCTAGATTTCCTAACCAACTCAAACTTGGACTAAATCTTTCCAAAATATTTAGGAAACCTTTTTTTAAGTTTACGTCGTAAAGAACTAGGACTTGCCGCGAGATTGAATTTGCAAAATGAAAATTGCAATAAAGTTCCAAATTAGATGATGAATACCTCACGTTGAAGTTCTCATGGACACGCACTCAGACTAACTAAGGCTAGGGTAGGAATCGGTTCAAGACCAAGTGGTCAAGGTGGGGGGGCACCAAAATGTGACATCTTGAGTTCCATTCCTATCACTAGTAGAGGACCATTTCCTTGCTAAACTACTGAAAAAAAAAGAGGGATTAGGTGCAATGTTTTAAAAAATGGGCTGCCCAGTGCTTAGGCGCCCGAGGGGCCTTAGGCCACACGCCTAGGCCTGGACACCAGTACCTGGGCTCCCACCTGGCGGTGCAGGCGAGCGCTTAGGTACATGGGCCCTTTTTATATTTTTAGAGAAACCCTTAAGGGCAAATGGGGTAATTTTGACCTCAAAAAATGCTTAAAAGAGTACGTGGGTTATTTTAAACCCCTAAAAAAACTAAAAATAAAAATTTATAAACCCTAAATCAATTAACTATACCTATTTTTTAGAATAAAAAAAAGATTTTGTGGCTTCAAGAAGCATCCTAAGCTTTTGGAGACGATTACAAATATTGTTATGCACTATAGATTATTAGACTTTTTTAATTTTTCACTAAATTTTCTGTGATTCGAAGTTTTGAACAGGTTTATTCTTAACAGGTGATATGTTTGTATAAGAAAAAGTGCGTTACTATACATATAAGTGAAAAAAATTACAAAATTAACACAAATATATGCATATGTGCGCGTTTGGACAGCACATGTATGTATATATCTTAAGAATGTGTATAACAGGGTACCAAAGGTTCTGGGTCCCAGGCACTGAGCGTTGGGTGTTTTTGAAACCTTTCTAGGGCATAAATTCCACGTGGCACCCATCCTAGTGGTCCACATGGCCTTCGAGGGTCTATGACATGGGCCACATGTGTGCCACTAGCGTGGCGCACTTGTATTCCCTGTAACTACCACTGGAAGACCCCCGATTTTGGCCTTGTTCAAAGATACATTTGTCTCTTGCATTCCACATGTGTCTCTTTTTCTCTATTTCAATTTTTTTTTGCTCCAAGACTAATTTTGATGTGCACTAATCACCATTTCAAAAATAATGAGCAATAGTTTTTTTCAGTTTGGTTTGATGGAAATTTGAATCTACTTAATGCATTTTTGAACTTCACAATGAGTTATGCTGATACTGAGAAATGCTTATTTCTAGTGTGTGATAAGCAGTTCTTTTCTGAGTTGACAAAAGAGGCTTCAGAGATAGCTGGTTGCCTTCGTTCAAGAGTCAGGCGCCTTCTCCAACTTCATGTTACCAATGGGTTGCGGGGTTATGTGTGTCGTCTGCGACATTGCTTTGTGGATGACCAAGAAGCCTTACATCAAGGACGGATACTAATTGACTACATAACCATGAATGCCATGGCTATACGAAAAATCCTGAAGAAATATGACAAAGTAAGGTCCTGGTTTTTTCTTCCTTGTCTTTCTTCTTTTGGAGTCTTTGGTAGCTTCAATGTCACTTAACTTTCTTGCAGTGCGTTCTAAAACTTGCATGAGTCCACTCGCCACTTGCCCAGTAGGAACCGAACAAACTTGGCTGTTTCGTACATTTTGATACTGTAACTTGTACAATCTCAGCTGAGTCTCTGACAGATATGGACGATTCTGTACTGACAACTTGGGCTTCTACCAAGTCCTGAGGCTGAGCCTTATTTTTGAACATTGCTTTGACAATTTTAAAGGATCTATAAATAATGGTTGCATGCAGGTGCATTGCTCTGTCAATGGTAGGAACTTTAAGATAAAGATGCAGGCTGAACGACTTGAGCTCTTACAGTCCCCTTGGCTTATTGAATTGGGTGCGTTCTACATCAATTCTAGAGGCTTGGATGATGGAGATTCCAATCATTTTTGCCGACAATTCTCCTGTGATTTTAGTGGTACTGAGCCTGTAATAAAACTGATCATTTCAGACTCAGTTAAGCTCGAGTACAATTTGACATGTGCCATTTGTTTGGTAAGTTTGTCTTCTTCATCTTGTTCTCCTTCTGTTTTGGGTTTTTAGAGTTAAAATTTTTCAATGCTTATTATTTCTTTTAATTTTTAGAAATCCCCTGTACTTCTGGTGTGAGTTATTTGGTTGTCTTTTTTGGGCTTCAGTGACCAAATATCAAAATGCTACTGGCTATGGAAGAAAAAAACTTAAAATTTGCAACACAAGAATCAAAGTAAAAGAAAATGGAAAGGAGGCAAAATGTTCCGAGACTTCTGCCGCACGAGCTTATGCTGGAATCTGACGAGAAGTATAATATTGTGTGAGTGAATTTCATGTTTTCTCCAACGACCTTGCGAATGAGTTTGAAAATGCATTATAGTCGACAATTAAAAAAAAAAATGCATTATTGTCCATCTTATATCACTGAGAGAATGGTCCTCTCAAATGCATCCTCCCTGTTGAAGGTGATTTCGAAGTAACCATTCCAACTTCAAACCTACCAACCAGTAATCCTGCTATAAGCCATTATTGTCTGACTTTTACTGCCAAATCCAGTGGGCTAGATGAACCTTTTCCTTGGTCACCATTACTCCATAAAAAGTCCCATATTTGTCATCTGAAAATCTCCATTACCTATGGAAATAGATTTTGAGTGGATAGAATATCTAGTGGTAGAAAGATTATAAACATGAGGTCGTAAAGTGTTTGCAGAAGGTGAAAAATTGGTTGTAGAAAGATTAATATGTTCAGCTCAAATAAGTTTTTGAGCCGTGACCTCATTATCATTTTTTTTTTTGAGCCGTGACCTTGATTTTTCATTGACTTTTCCCTCAAATTTACTAATTATGTACTGTCCTGGAAATAGGTTAGTTGCTAGTGAATTAGTTCCCTTTGCAATCTTTCTTGAATCACTTCCATGTATAATGCCAGAGCACTATGGTTTTGGCAATTTTGGAAAATGTTGCTGGAATTTTGGTTGTCGCTAGAAACAAAGTTTCTCTTGTTACTTTTTTTTGTCTATGTTGGATTGGCTAGTCTACTGATTTTACAGACGCTATTTGAAATTTTGAATGGATGTATATGCAGGATACTCTTTTCAATCCTTATGCTCTGGCATGTGGCCACCTATTCTGTAAAGGCTGTGCCTGTGCGGCCGCTTCTGTGTTATTGTTTCAAGGGCCCAAAGCTGCACTTCATGAATCAAAATGCCCTGTATGCAGAGCGGTATGCTTTTTTGACATAATTGTTGGCAATGAAATTTATCAAATCGATTTGTATTTCATGCTGCTTCGGTAGACATTTCCAACATATGATAGAGACACATAAATTAGGTCTCGATCTGCGGTTATCTTTTTGTGTGGGAAGTTTCTAATTACTGTTTAGGTCTTTCTTTGTTTTCTCATCAAAGTTTTTATTTTATCTCTGGTGGATGGAAATTCATACAATATTAATTTTCTCATTGAATGCCCCACTATTGAATCTGAATTTTGGCTGATTATGCTATGTGTTTTGTTCTTTTCTTTCATTCATCAAATTTTTCTATATTATTCTTTGGATGGCGTAATTTTTTAGAGCATGCATAGCATACTCCTGCTGTGAGCTACATTCACTCCCTGGGGAAAAAGATTTTAGGAGGATTTTTTTATATGAAATTTTCTGATCCCTTTTAGAATCTCCAGATAAGTAATAAAAAAAAATAAAAAATTTAGAGTTTGTAAACACTTACGTCTGACACTCTGACTTTTCAATAATTCTTTATATAGTCTTGGGAGGTTTATTTTTCCGCCATACATAGGGTGCCTATGGTATAATTTCTTCCTCAAGGTTGGTTGCTAGGTTGTGGAGGTTAGGTTGTGGAGGTTACATCCTCAAATTTTCTGTCCTAATAATATTCCTAGATAGGGTTTTACCTGAGGAAGTGAATACACAATATCCTCCCACGGGGACAGATAATAATTTATCAATTTTTATGCTTTTTAGAATATTTTAAATGAATAATTTTATTCAATGATTGTGTATTTGGGCTCATTATTGTTGTATCCTTATGGCCAATAAATCTGGCAAGGATCTTCTAGAGGTAATGTACATTCCCACCGTATGTAGCTATGAGAGCTTTTTCCATATCCTCTGAAAGACTGTTTTGGGTATATCTGGAAATCAAGCAAGCTTTCGTTGTTTGTGAAAATGGTTTCCTTATTAAATAAATAAGACCCAACTTGGTTCTTTCCTCTCTGCAATTTAACAAGGAAAAGGCTTTTGCTCACTTATAAAGATTCATGTGCATTGGAGCATTATCTTGATTTACCTATCCATGTGAGTACCTTATCACTTGATTTGTTGAATTCGATCATAACAGAGTACTTTAGATATCAATGTTCCAGTATTTCCTCAGATCCTGAAATGGAGGTTTTTACTTGTTAGTAACATGCTAGTCTTGTTTAGCTCAGTAGGAAGGTGTTTCTTGTTGCAACTTTTGAGGTTTTCGTGTTCAAACCCAGGTTGCCTATTAATGGAATAAGAAAGACTCGATGGTCTTGAGTAGCTTAGGTCCATTTTCCATAGCTTCTGTTTTGTGCCATGTTATCCATGATGAACTTGTCCAAATGTTTATTTGCAATAATTAGCTCTTTTTTTTATGAGTGCAGTTTGTATAGAGCCGAGGCTCTAAACAATCAAAGTAAAGCGCACCTTCAAATAGTATCGAGAAATCTGGTTTCAGTAATGGAAATCTTTGTGATAGCTTGAAAATATATTTTCATCTTTAATTATAAAATTTAAAGCTTAAAAAATAGTGTGGATTGAACAGATCTATGAAAACTTGAAAATCTTGAAAATTGACGGTCCAAAAATGACTATTTTCAAAACTTGAAATCCATTTTTTTCTCATGTCCATGCATCTTGAGATCGAGATGATCAATTTGAGGATATTTGGGCATCAAAACAACCTTTTCTAGTGAAATTTTTGAGGTGTTCTCTAATTTGATTGTTTAGAGCCTCAGCTCTATATAAACTTATTCCTTTTTATATTATTAGTTCATGGTAATTCCCCATAGTTTCCATTATGTGACATGATTGTCATGACTCTCTCTCTCTCTCTCTCTCTCT